TTTCTTTTCTTCTTCTTTCAAAAACAACAGCGATTTAAACATGGGAAGTATTTACATATATTCGACAGGACTAACATGGTGCATACCGAAAAATTTCGTTGATGAGTGAAAAACTCACAAATTTCTTGCTATAAACCGCTCCGAGAGTTTTTCGAGAGTTTTTTTAGCCTTCCAGTAAGTCTCACTTGCGCAAAATAAATTCCGTCGGTCTATAAAACGAGAGCTTTGCGAGACAATGAGACACCGGAACGATGATTACAATTGAGACAATTGTTCAACAAACAAAAAAAAACAGCCAGTGTCCGCAGATAAAAAGAAAAAGACTTCCCAGACATTTTTGTGTAATCTGTAACCCTGCATAAGCGAAGGGTTCACCGACCATCCTATGCGAAGTGCTGTTCCCTCCACGGAGCAAGGCTGGAACCATTGTTTGCGAAGCGTTCATATAGAAGGTACTTTCTGATATTCGCAGTCCCGATCCTCTCTTTGTGCCGCCATTTTCTTAATTCATGGTGTGCACGCTCGCTGGAGAAAGCGTTTACTTTCCCGATATCGTCGTTAAGTTCCATGACTCAGAAAGTAAAAAGAAAGAAAAAAAAACTACGCTACTTTCTAATTTAGAATTGGATAGATGCTATTATCCTGTATCACATTGTGCTTAATACAACTTCCTTTCTCGGCGGACAGCCTGCGCGTTCGTAGTTGTTGCGCGTAAGTTCAGTTCAGTGCGCCAGAAGCACAGAAAAAAAAGGGAAGTGCATATATCATAATGTTAGTAATAAGCTAGACAGCACTTCGGACTATCTCGGGACGATTTCTTCCTTATTTCGCTCGCACTCGATAGCTGTTCAGTAGGCGTTTACGTTTTTCGGCGTGTTTCGTCCAATTAACTCCCTGCCTCTTCCTCGGGCGTTATTCCAAGCGCTTTTTAGTGCGTAAATTTTTATTCCGCGTCTGTACTGAGGATCAAAATATTATCTTTTCTTTTGTTCACTCACTTCGGACTATCAGGCTTAAGCTGCCAGTACCGACGACGTCTCTCATTAGCCTCTTTTGCTATCTCGCGCTTCCTCTCTGCTTGTGCACCCTTTGTTTGCGCACGTAATTAAAAACTCCAGTTGCGGATTTGTGCTTGTCGATATTTCTTAGTCTCCTCGAGTGGATATATTGCTGCGCGTTTTCTTTTTTTCGGATTTCAGATGGCACTGGGCTTCTGCCGGCATGTTCTGTATATACTTGACTCGCTTTCGTCGCGGGAAGGCCTAATGCCGAGCACTCTAAAGCCCCTCGGCTAACTTCCCGGCTTAATTGTGTGTCTCGTAGACCGGGCATGGTGCAGCACTTTCGTCTGTAAGCCACACGTGCCTTTCATTTTTCTCTCTCTCTCTCTCTTTGACATTCACTCGCTCTCTCTTCGTTTAAACAATCCTCTAAATGCAGCATCGTTTGCAGCGAGAGGACTGTGCTTGCTGATCTCGTGTTCGTACTTTTTTTCCCTTCTTAATGAGCCCCCCCTCCCACTTTTTCTGAAATGCGAACGCCGAGATTCGACTCAACGTCTGCCGATCTGTGTGTGCGACAGAAAATGAGTAAAAAGAGAAAGAAAAAAGTAATGAAAAAAGAGTTCGCACGTTTTAAAGTGGCTCATGGACGTTTGCACTGTGAAATACTGGTTAAAAATGAAGCACAGGGCAGAGTGTACGGGATCGCATTCACAAATGGTCGTGAAGAGCTGTCGAGTTCCGGAGTATACATGCAGAGATGGTTTTGCCGCGTTTTGGAGGAGCGGCTTGAGTGGAAATGGTCAAACACTGTTTACTTCTGAAAGTGGTCTCTATAGTCAAGTTGTTTCAACGTGGTTCGGGGAGAGCAAACGACAGGAATGATGGCGATGATGCAATCCCAAAAACAGAGTAATTCGTAGCGATTCAAGGGTTGTTCAAACACTCTCACGGTATCTGGTGATGGTAAATAACGTGACGACGCAAAAGCAATATTCGTTTTCTTATTTTCCACTCAATGAAATGCTTGAAGCATGCTAGGACAATTCGTATTGCATATAAACAATTTCATCGTTGAAGAGCATTAAAGTCTCGAATCAGCATAATTTTTTTGGGCATCATTCACGATCATACGTAAGTTAATATGTCGCCCGTATATTATCGAGACTGTTAAGCTCTCCATAGCCTTCTATTTCTGTGATGGCAGAGAAAGAGAGAGAGGGACAAGAAAAAAGTACTCTATGCATAATCTATTCTGGGCGAATTCGAAATGTCGCGTAAGCGGTGTGTTTGGTATAATATCGAAAATGGATCGCTATATATATATATATATATATATATATATATATATATATATATATATATATATATATATATATATATGCATAAGGGAAACAAGTGTATACTTAAGGGCTCGTTTTTCGTGTTTTGCACAATAATAATGAGATCTAACCGACAATAATGCCAAGGAAGGTATAGGGGAAGTTATTAGGCCAATTGTAATGTAAAAGAGAAGAAAAAAAGTGGGTGAAAAGATAACTTGCCGTGGGCAGGATCCGAACCTGCGACCTTCAAATAACGCGTTCGATGCTCTACCACTGAGCTACCCCGACAGCCATCCCCCCAGCCACTTTATTGGGTATCCACGTCAATTTAAACGTGGGAGTGTCAGTCAGCGCTACTAGTAGCCATGGCGGCGAGTGTGGTACACTCTTTATGAGCCTGTTTGGCGTGACGTAGCACGTGAACTTATTACTAATTGGCAGCTGACCAATAGTCCACCGTATACAACCTAGAGGCACCAAGTCTGCCAGTACGAGACCCTCGTTAATGAATGAACAAGGGAAACAAGTGTATACTTAAGGGCTCGTTTTTCGTGTTTTACACAATATTATTGAGAACTAACAGACAATAACGCCAAAGAAGGTATAGGGGAAGTTGTTAGGCCAATTGTAATGTAAATGAGAAGAAAGAAAAGTGGGTGAAAAGATAACTTGCCGTGGGCAGGATATATATATATATATATATATATATATATATATATATATATATATATATATATATATATATATATATATATATATATATATATATATATATATATATATATATATATATATATTTATATATATATATATGTATATATATATATATACATATATATATGTATATATATATATATATATATATATACATATATATATGCATATATATACATATATATATGCATATATATATATATATATATATATATATATATATATATATATAGAAAAAGCTGCGAGTAGTAAAATGGCCGCAGTATGAAATGGTTATGGGCCCCCGACGATGTTCTCCCTAAGCTGTAACGATCACTTCTTTCTTTCTTTCTTTCTTTCTTTCTTTCTTTCTTTTTTTCCTTCTTTTTCTTTTTCTTTCCTTCCTTCTTTCTTTTTTTCTTTCTTTTCTTCCCGCTTCCCCTTCCGTCACTGTTCGAGAAACAACACTAAGGAACACTAACGCGCACATAAAGCTCAACGTAAGAGACCAATAGAGTTTCATGACACGCGCTCAAGGTCATACGCGTAGCTAAATGCTGCTTCGTTTTCCCGTACCGTCCCTCCTTGTGCCGCTTCCAGTGCGCTCGTTGGGGCGAAAAAAGAGACGACCTGAAAGCGTGGGATGAATCCCCGTAGCTCCGCTTGTTCTTGATGCATTCAATGAACGTTTTCATAAATCGATCAGTGAGACAATAAAATCCGAAACTGAGCTCATTCCATCATTACTCGGGAAGTAGGCTGAGGACCCCTCTAAGTGATGGTCTTGTGTGACTGCACTATGCACTTGTATTTTGGAGCGTCTGCACTCATGCTTTCTTTGTCTCTGTTCTAACCACTGATTTCCTTTCCCAAGCGTAGGGTAGCAAACGTAACATAGTGTAGTTAACGGTGACTGCCCTACCCTTCCTACTGCCCCCTTCCCAAAATATCTTTTTTTCGAAACTTTCACGTGAAATAAGGAATAGTACATAAATACAACCAAATTGATAAATCCTCCCTAAATATTTTTCATGGCACTGTGGTGACTTTAGTGCACCATTTTCGCGATTTCCTGTAATACGCCAATTTGAGGTTGCTTTACACGGACTTGTCTGTTTAACTTTCATAATTCTGATACGGGCATCGCAGATACAAGAAGGTCGCTGAAAGACCAATAGAACTCAATCTGCCGAACTTATAACCGCCTAAATGATCCCTCAAAATTTTGCAGATGCCTTGGCACAACAGAAAGACTGGTTCTTTTAGCCCTACAATTACGAATTTTTCCGCTCTAATGTACGAGAATATTCGATACAGTAATAAGCAGCTACTGCATGCTGCAAGAAGTTTAGTGCAAGCTTATTTTGTTTACAACTATTCCCAATTTCTTTTCTTTGCGCTGTGAAAGCGAGGTTTCGCATTTGGCTTTTCACCCAAGAAAGTTCGAAGCGTAGCAGATGTCACTGCATAGTTTTTGGAGCGCCTAAAAACTAGTGCGGGAGCTCTGCCGCGCTGCCTTGATGCCACTTCCGTCATGTACGTCATGACCGGGGTTCACGTAGCAGAGCTTGCCGTAGACTAGGATTTTCCCAGAGCTGACATGCGTCTCCCGTGTGAAAGCATCGCCTACCAACGGAGTTTGTTTCAACTGTCGAACTCACTTGAGGCTACCTGCTGTAACGCATGTCTTTGAAAAATCAAGCAGCCGCTAAATCGCTCCACTTGTCCAGCACGGCAGACTGCGTAATTAGCGTAGCGAAAAGGATGAGCGACAATGATTACGAGACACAAAGCGCCAGTGAACACGTGCTGTTAAGTCATCGTTTCGCGAACTTCATCTGCAGTGGCTGTTTGAAACACTCGAACGCCTTGCCGATCGTGCTGCTTTGAGCGCGTCTGACAACCGCATGCGGCTGACCCAATTCTTCTGACGCCATGCGTCTTGAACGCTGTGTAGACGAGCAAACTTTTCATCTCTCAGATGGCGGCCGCTTCCACTCTGTGCTGAAGCCGTGCCCCCTGCCGCCTATGAAGCCTCACCTGGTGGTGCACCACGAAGGGCGGCCCCTCACCGTCACCGGGCTCAGTCAAATGGCGCACGAGAGCATGCTCAGCTTCCGCTGCACCCAGCTTGGCCGCTACAAGTTTGTGGGCAACGCGACCGTGCGCTGTCTCAACGGCCAGTGGTCAGCCGCTATGCCTAGCTGCCTGGAGACCTCGCAGCAGAGCAACCTCTCTGGTGAGTGCACCGCGAAATCACCTCTGGTCACTTCCTAAGGATGGTATAGATATACCTATACACTCTAACAATACTAAATAAAAGTTATTTGACTCTCATTAGGAGTTCTGAATACCTTCATATACGACTCTCTTGAAAGAGACGCATCAACTATACATCTTGTGAGCCCTACGACTCTCCAGCTACACTGTGGTTTATGTATCTCTTCAACGAGAGTCGTACACGAGGCAAAGTCCAACTCCCGAACGAGAGCCAAATAACTTTTTTTCTTAGACATTAGGTAGCAGCACTTGCAGGATGGACCACCGGTGAAAAAGGAAAATAAGAAAAACAGCCCGGCCTCCCCAACTACAGCTTTTATACTGACTTTTCTTTTTATTGCCTCATGCAAAATCTACGTTACAATCAAGATACACAAAATACAAGAGTGATGCACTGATGCTACTTAGGGCAGGTAATAACCGCGGAGCCGAACCACGAAATCGAAGTAACTAGTAGAATAAGAATGGGGTGGAGCACATTTAGCAAGCACTCTCATATCATAGGTAGGTTGCCACTATCCCTCAAGAGGAAGGTATATAACAGCTGCATCTTGCCGGTACTTAGCTATGGAGCAGAAACCTGGAGACTTACAAAGAGGGTTAAGCTTTGATTGAGGACGACGCAGCGAGCAATGGAAAGAAAAATGGTCGGTGTAAAGTTAAGGGACAAGAAGAGAGCGGAGTGGATTAGGGAACAAACCGGGGTTAAGGATATCATGGTTGAAAAACGTAATACAGTGTGTGTGTTTTAAAGGCTAGTTTCGGTTTATCTTCTACCAAGACGTCGCAGCATGGCGAGAGCTTCTCGTCACGTGCTCAGGTAAAATATCGTGACGTTTCCATGGCTGCTCCGCCCCATGGCTTCATTGATATTGCACACGCGGCATTTTTGAATGATGTGGTGGCTGACGTCATCTCAACCCGCCACATTGCTGCGTGAAGTCACTAAAATTAGTACTGTAGTCTGACGTCAAGCTAGTGTTGATGTCGGTAGGTGCGGCACGGAAAATTGAATTTAATATTAAAATAACATAACTTGGCAGCCTCTGTGGAGCCTCACACCACGTTAGAGCCGTCTCTGTATACAAACAATTCGTATGGCAGTGCAAACACCCCCCCCCCCCACCCTCCGCGAAATTGTGTTAGTACTTATTGAAAGATTAAAGGATCCATAATAACGCCCATCTAAAGGTCATTTTTGGAATGTTTAATTTTTTTCTGTCATATCAACGAGTATTTTTTCCTGGGGCATCTAAGCTGACGTTCATTTGATCTCATAAACAGGCCAACGAAAACTTGCTTGGTAGTTGAAGTGGCATAGCTCTCGAGCAGCTTCGCTTACGCTAGATTGGCTTCGGGCTTAGAAATGATTAGAGTAATAGATTCAGGATAGAACGAGCAAAACTGACATTACACGTTTTATTCCTAGCTTAGTATATTGGGACTTGACTGGCTGCAACTTTTCATCACTTCTCATCAAAGGGCAGTTCCGTAGGGATGTGGTTGGACTATATTTACTCGAAATTTTCAATCGTATACGTATAAGGAGGCACTGCCTGCGAGCCATACAGGGTATTCTGTCCCCCGCTGCAGCTTGTCAGCGTTGCTAATCTCCAAAGTGGGTCACCGAATCAAAAACGCATTTTTGACGAGCATACACAGGCCGTTGTTATTGTGAGTCGGGGAGAGCGAAATAAAAACTTAATTGGGTGGTATTGCATCGACCAGAATTAACAGCAATTAACAACGAAGCTTTCATCCATATCTTCGAGTTCGGTTCTGTCTCATTGCGCTGCTGCTTTGCTTAGCTTCAATACGAATCATCGAGTTCTTCCTTGCAGTAAAAAGGAAAAAAAATTGTAAGCATATTGGTTCGGTTTCCGCTGTGAGGGTGAATAAAGGAGAATTCGGAAGACGGGCAGCTATTTTAGGCCCCAGGAGAGCCCGGAGTCTGGCGGCCTGTGCCGTGCAGTGCAGGTGCCGCCCACCATCTTGTACTCGGTGGAGAAAGGAGACTATGGAGTGTCCGAGGAGGGTGAGCTGGTCGTTTATCCGGAGACCAACGTCTACCTGTACTGCCTGTATCAGCGGTTCAGTGGCAATCCACAATGGGCCTGGACATCACAGAGGTGCGTAATCTTTTTCAACAAGGGTCTTTTTTCTTTGCCCTATCATATCTGCAGGCGTTCATCAGTACTTGTCGCACCCCCTTTACCCGTTGCCGGCTGAATGAGATTTGCGCCGCGCTTTTGGCGAACGCACCACAGTCGACGTTACAGAAGCATCTATAGGCTTTATTTTTCTCTTGGAGATGCGGATATAAGTGCATGGATTTAGAGTTGCCGCAACGTGATGAGATTGCATATACGTACCTCCTCAATCGTCATTCAGCACTCCTTTTTCTCCACGTTCCCTCTCATGTTTCTTTTTTTTCTAACACTCAAATGCTTTATTGAGTGCAAGCCCTCACTTCAGGGAAATTGTTTGAATCTGCAAGCATAAGTACATCAAGAGCTGAACATTCTCAATTGTCTGACACAACCCTCGAGTAGAGCTTGAGATAAGATGAGGCTGTTCTATCGCACTTCTTTTTTTTTTGTCAACCGCATTTCAAGACAGTGGAGCTTTGTGCTAGTGTTTACAGGGCTAATACTTTAATATCTGGAGTTTACATTCAATTCCCCACAAGTCACAACACAACGTTGTTTCTGGCAGTAACGAACTGGATTCTGATTCGTTGACCTTCTGTAGTGTCTGCAACGATGGACCAGTGGCAAAGGTGCTCGGCTGGTAACCCGAAGGTTGAGGGTGACTTGAAGGTCGCAAGCAGCTGGCCGCCGCGAAAGTTCGAGTCGAAGATTCACTTGAGGTCAACCGAAAACTGAGTGCCAAAGTACGGAAATTGACAGGAACGCTGCTAGAGTCTTTGGACCGTCCACCGTATAGCGGTTACGGAGCACGGCTGCTGACCGGTAGGTCACGAGTGCGATCTTCGTCGTGGTGGTCACATGACGCTGCAGAGAAAATGGGCGATGTCACAGCACGTTAAAGAACACCAAATGGCCAAAATTACTGTAGGCTTTCATCACGGCGTTTTTTATAACTATATCGTGATTTCGGATAGTAAAATCCCCAATAATACGATATTGTCATGGCAGTGACAGTCGATGTTTTCTAGCATCTTATTTAAATTAGGTACACGAAATCATTTACCTAAGCTTTAGTGGTACTTTTTGGCATACGAAGGCATCTATTCTAAATGGTTGTGCGCACCTGGGGCTACGTAGACCGCGATCTGCGATATCTAAAAAAAAAGGTGCTGGGCACGCGCCATTAGTTTTCTCAATTTAATTTGGTCGAGAAAAAATGACAGAAATGTTTATTTGTGGAGAGGACGGCTTGAAGTTAGAAGCTACTCTCGCCACCTGCTATTCCCCGTAATGCTCGTAATTTTCCTAGCAGCACGGTGTAGCATGGCCTTTCCTATAAATATACATGTTGGCAGGCTCGTAGCCAAGATTTTTTTTCGGTGAGGGGGGGGGGGGCAATGGCAAGGTTTAATTGTTCGAATGTAAGTCTTTTTATGGCAAATAAAATGAAAGTTGCCCGAGAGTATAGAAGGTGCTTAATTATTAGAAAAAATGAGAACAAAGTGGATGCAGCTAAACAGGTGTGTTAATCAGTGATGGAAAGCAAATTTAGACAATCTGGTAAAGCTAGTGCAGGTGCACCAGAAAGAATGCTTTCCTATTAAATAATCTCGACCAAGAAGACCCATTCCAAGTCCGTAGTGGGAAAACCAATGACAAAAAAAAAATAAAAAGGGTGGGTGCAAGGGGACCGGTATATCACTTAAGAAAGTGCAGTAAAAATAAAAAATAAATATCGGACGCTTTCTCTGCTGAAATTCTCACACTCTGTCTGAACAACACGCCTGAGAGAAGAAAGGGAGCCATGTTATGGCAGGATGTTTTAAACAAAGAACACACACACTCTCGGGAGAACAACTTTATTGGAGAACAATAAACTAAAACACGGATGCTACCCTGACACAAAAGAAGCAGAATGTTAACATTTGTTTTAGCAACCATTTTAAAATATTGGCATTGTGAATGGAATTGTGAATGATGTTACGGAAGAGAAGGGACGCCGTATCGACGAGGCTGTGGATGAAATATATTTCAAACCAGCAGCAATGGAGTGACCGGTTGACTAGGCACTCAGAGGAGACCACCCTTCGTCCTCTTCGTCAGGCACACACGCGCATTGTCGCACAAAATGTCAACATGCATGCAGCGTAATCCCCGGCGGCAGAAGCGCCGTCTCGGCGCATCTAGATGTCAACGTCAGCGGGAGAGTGGTAAGGCTTCAAGCGTGCCACATGTACGATATCTGTGGTCTGTGGGGCAGTTGAAGGCGAAGAGGCAGCAGGGGCAATTTCGTATGTCACAGGAGTTACCTCACGAAGGACTCGATAGGGACCTTTGTAGCGGGAAAGAAGTTTCTCCGACAAGCCGACATGACGGGTCGGGGACACAGCAGCACCAATGAACCCGGTAAGAAGTGCACGTTGTGGTGCCGTTGATCGTAGAAACGCTTCTGGTTCTCTTGGGAGGCCAGAAAGCGAGTGCGGGTGATTTCACGTGCGTGGGCAGCCCGAGTGATAGCGTCAAGAGCATATCGCTGGTCGGTGTCGTGGTAGACGGAATGACTGCATCTAGGGGTAATGAAGGTTTTCGGCCGAACAACAGAAAAATGAGGAGTAAGCGGCAGTGTCATGGCAAGAAGAATTATATGCAAATGTCACGTTTGGAAACGCAAGGTCCTAGTCAGAGTGGTTGGAAGAAACATATTTCGCAAGCATGTCTGTAAGTGTTCGATTCAGGACGCTCCGTGAGTCCATTTGTCTCCGGGTGGTACGATGAAGTGAACTTGTGCCTCGTTTCACATGACTGAAGGGTACCGGCTATGACCTTTAATAGAAAGGTGCGGCGACGGTCTGTAAGCAGCTGGCGTGGAGCTCCATTTTGCAAGATCATGTCCATGAGGAGGAAGTCGGCTACATTTGTTGCGCAGCTTGTTGTGAGTGCTCGTGTGATAGCGTAGCGTGTGTCGTAGTCTGTGGCCACAGCGATCCATTGGTTGCCAGAAGAAGACAAGGGAAAAGGGCCCAGGAGGTCTAAGCCAACGCTGAAAAAAGGTTCTGACAAAATTTCAAGTGGTTGACGGTGCCCGGCGGGAAGCGTCGATGGTGTTTTGCGGCGCTAACATTTATCACAAGCCGCAACGCATCTTCCGACTGAGCGTGAAAGCCCTAGCCAAAAGAAGCGTCGGCGAATCCGGTCGTAAGTACATGACACACCAAGGTGACCGGCAGTTGGGAGGTCATGGAGTTCGTGGAGAACTGCCAAGCGGAGGTGTTTCGGAATGACAAGTAGCTGCTGGTCCATCTAGATAGACGTCCCATCGTGGAGGACGAATGAGCGATGGGACCTGTCGGAAAATGGTGATTCAAAATGTTCGATTATAGCACGCAAGGATGCATCACGGTGTTTCTCGTCACCAATGCGGGTCAGTTGCGAAACGGAAAAGACGCAAGTATCGGTGTCGGTGTCAGGGATGGTGCTCGACTCAGCAACCGGGTAGCGGGACAGGCAGTCTGCGTCCTGATGTAGCCATCCGGACTTGTACGTCACTGTGTAGGTATACTGCTGCAGTAGCAGAGCCGAGCGCCGGAGCCGGCCAGTAGGATCCTTCAGTGACGAAAGCCTACATAGCGCGTGGGGGTCTGTTATTACAGAGAAATTCGTACCATATAAATATTGGCGGAACTTCGTGACTGCCCAAACAAGAGCAAGATATTCACGCTCTGTTATTGCATAGTTGCGCTCGGCAGTTGTGAGAAGGCGGCTAGCGTAGGCGATAACTCCGTCGTGTCCCCGCTGGCGTTGGGCTAGGACAGCTCCAACCACGTGACCACTTGCATCGGTTCAGACTTCTGTCAGAGAGGACAGGTCAATGTGGGCCAATATAGGTGGAGTCGTGAAGAGCGTGATGAGGTGAGAAAAAGCGGCAGCTTGAGCGGAACCCCACGTAAATGGCACGTCTCTCTTCAGAAGGTCGGTGAGTGGTCGAGCGATGGTTGCAAAATATTTCGCGAACCTTCTTGAACAGGAACAAAGTCTCACAAAGCTCCAGACGTTCTTGACAGAGTAGGGTACAGGACTGCTCGTGACGGCACAGATTTTATCCAGGTCAGGCTGCACACCTGATGCGTCGACAAGGTGGCCCAACCCCGTAATCTGCTGGCGGCCGAAGTGGCATTTTGATGAGTTTAGTTGAAGACCAGCAGTGCGGAAGATGTCGAGAACCGCTGACAAACACTGCAGGTGAGTCTAAAATGTAGGCGAATATACAAGGACATCATCCAGGTAGCACAGGTATGTTGACCACTTGAACCTTTGCAATAGCGAGCCCATCATACGCTAAACGTGGTTGGGGCGTTGCATAGCCCAAACGGCATCACCTTGAATTGATATAGGCCGTCGGTAGTTATAAACGCAGTTTTTTCTTGATCTTTCTCATCCACGGCAATCTGCCAATACCCAAAACCTAGGTCCATTGAAGAAAAGTATCGCGTGCCGTGAAGACTATCGAGGGCGTCATCAATTAGGGGCAAAGGATAAACGTCCTTTTTCGTGATTCGACTAAGATGGCAGTAATCAACAAAGAAGCGCCACGTGCCATCTTTCTTTTTAACGAGCACAACAGGAGATTCCCAAGGGCTCGAAGAGGGTTCAATAATTCATTTGGTTGGCATATTGTTGACTTCTTCTTGAAATACCTTACGCTCTGTGGCAGACACCCGGTATGGTCGGCAGTAAATGAGAGGAGAATCAGCAGTATTAATGTGGTGCTTCACGAGGGAAGCCTGACCGAGTGGACTGCTGTCACTGTCAAATATGTCGCGGTAGGAAGCCAGAAGGTGGAATAGGGCGTCGGATTGCTCAGTTTTTAGTTTCGGGTCGATCACTGGGCGCAAGGCCGCATCGAGGGAAAAGGCATCCTGCGGGTGACATGGAACATCAGAGCATGCATCTGCCGTAAAAGTGGTGACGTCAGCGTCTAT